TTATTTCACAGTTAACCTTTGCTTGTTAGGTTTCCATACAGTAAAGTCAAGTGGCTAATCTTTACTCTCTATTTTTATAGGTCGAGCTTGGAAATCCCTATAATGCCACCGCTGACTATTATTCATTTGGGATCATTGTTTTTATGATGGCCCCTGGAAAACCTTGCAGGTTTGCCATCTGCAGGGCGTGCTTCTATCCGCGTGACATCGATATGGACCTTCGAGATGTCGTTGAGCGAGTGAGTGTAGATACACGTACAAATGTGATTTCTGTATTCCGCGTTTGCCTTTGATACGCTAATTCTAGTTCAACTATATTAGTATTCTTGGAATTCTCAGTATGGGGTTTATGTATACAAATACCGTAGAGCCATTTGTCCTGTGAAACAGCATGTACACTCAATCTATGTGAATGGAGGCAAAAACTAATGTTATTAGCATATACTGTATTCTTTCAAGGTTGAATGTAATATGCAAAAAAATACCACATTGTGGCCACTAGACTGAGCTGAGGAGCATGGGAAATAAGTATTTGTTTCCTATGCACCTCAGTGCCATCTACTGACCATAATGCGGTATTTTCATGATAATATAAACGACCTAAAAAGAGAAAATAGTAATAATATTCATTTTGCCTCCATTCACATAGAACATTCCGTGTTGCAAGACAAATGGCTGTGCGAATTTAAAAAAACTAAAGTATTTAAAGTCTGAATTTCGTAATTTAGAGATGCTGCTTTTTCTTATGCTTTACTGGAGGAATATATCCTCTATCCTCTATATCCTCTATCACTAAGAGAAAGTGAGGGACAGAAGATATATGATGGTGGAGATGCGAATTCACACGAACTGTGCAGGATTTGGAGTGTTGGAGGAAGGAAGCAGGTAATATAGCCCATTGGCCACCATCTAAAAACAAACTTCCAGTATTAGGTGAAATTTGAAATATCTGATCTGAAGAACTCACACTCTCATTTCTTTTACAGATACTTGAAACCGAAGAACATACGAACAGCAGCTCCGAAGATACAAGGATTGTAGACTTCGGTTTTTCTGCATTGAGTGTATTGGAATATTTGTATCCCCCCCTTAGGTGAGGAAAAGACCACCTTTCTGCTGCCCGTCCCCTACTGCCCCCAACCTTCATTTAACTATATTTATCCAGCCATGTAATTATCAAGTTGATGTAATAACCCTTTCTCTCCTTGTGATATTTTTTCAGGTTGGCCCTACAATCCCATTATAGAATACCTATAACAATCTTCCTGAATGTTTGGAAATCTACAAGAGTTTGACCAGCTCTACAAATGGGTCTTCTCTTTCCAATGCTCAGAATTAGACATATGTGAGCAAATTGAAGCAAGTACTGAAAAACCCTTTGAGGGTAAACTTTTGTGTGACTCGAACTTTACTTTAATAAAAGTGGGCAAAGAAAGCCCTTAAAAAAACATTATGTGAGTGGATGTGCCCTTAAAGCTTTTAGTCTTTGAAGTTAGTTCTCATAACATAATAGATGAGGAAAGGTCCAATGGGACAGATTATCTCAAGAGGATCATAGAGAACAGGATCCATATTTGACACAGGTTATGAAACATATAAAAACCAGTTGACCTAGAAGTTAACATTATAGTTAATCAGGTAATTCTGGACAGAAAAACAATAAAGATTTAGTGCAATAAGGCAATGAACATGTTTGGGACTCGATATATTCAGTTCCAAAATCAGAGGTAACAGCAAGATAATAAAGCTGGTTGACTAGTAGGCTTCCTCAGGAGAAGTGAGGCTACGGAGTATTAGATACCATAGGGGTGAAAAGAACTCTAGGCTAGGGGTTCCTTGGAAAAGGAAAAGAGGCAACATAGCTAGTCTCAGGAAAATAATCTCTTTCACACTATATGCGGAGACCTGCGTTTCTCTGCACCTAAGCAACCCTGGCCTCTGCAGGTTTACATAGAAAACAATTCTTCCCTATGTGCCCCGTTCACATCCCAACAGAGTGGAGAGGTGTGGAGCAAAGGGGAGCCAAGAAATGCAGCATTGTACTGCAAGTCTCCATTCATTTCAGCATGCGGGCTAGTGTGAATATATCCTCATAGGGAGAGAAAGAGGGTCCCAGATAGGGTTGCCATCCGGCCACGATTCACCCGGACAGTTTGGCTTTTGAATGCTGTGTTCGGGTTTCATGGCAGCAGAAACCCGGACACAAGATGTCAGGCAGACAGGGGCAACCAAAATTAAGATAGGGGCTACTGACCTCCCCCTGAAAATAGTCTCAATTGTGATATTTACATATGAATGGGTTGCCTCTATTTACATATAAATAAGCCGCGACTCATTCTCCTCCAAAAAAATGTCTGCGTGTCGCTAGAGTGTTCGGGTTTCACTTGAAGAAAAGGTGGCAACCCTACATATGAATAAGCGACATCTAATTCTCCCCGAAAAAAGTCTGCGCGTCGCTTAAATGTGTTCGGGTTTTGCTTGGAGAAAAGGTGGCAACCCTAGGCACAGGTGATGTTAGAGGTCTTCTAGACCCCTGATGTGCTCTTTCAAGAGAATCTGCAATATGCTATCACATAGGGACATTGTCAGCCTCCCCGTGATAGCAATAAAGTCGAGTTAAAAAAAAGAAAAAAAACAAAACCACCTTTCACAAACAAGTAATAAATGCACCCACATTGATTTAAAAAAACGCATCTATTAATTTTTTTTTTTGCAATGGGGCCTGCAATGAACAAACTCCTGCAGACTATTCTTCCAGCCCAGGTGCGTACGGAAGACACGCTGACACTTGTAGTCCCTCAGTGGTGTCCTGTGTGTCTGTATAGGTGGTGGGGAGGAGGATGGTGGGGTTACCCGTACATACACCGAGCACGGTGCTGACCGCAAGCCGCTCCCCCCTGGTCATGTGACTCGAGCTTTCCCCCTTGGATCGGCCGCCGGGATAATCACGTGACACTGGTGACGTCAGCTCGGGAGAGACAGGAAGTGGGATCCCGACACACAGTCACCTCCTTCCTCAGAATCCGGAGAGGAGCCGCGAACAACGGGAGCAGGGGTGAGAGAGTGGGCTGTGCCTGTCCGTCCTGGGGGAAGGGGGTTATCTCTGTATATAGATCCGCACAGTATATACCCCCTCTATATATCGGGATCACTGCACTGACCACACAGTATATACTCCCCTCTATATACCGGGATCACTGCACTGACCACACAGGATATACCCCCTCTATATACAGGGATCACTACACTGACCACACAGTATATAGCCCTTCTATATACCGGGATCACTGCACTGACCACACAGTATATACTCCCCTCTATATACCGGGATCACTACACTGACCACACAATATACCCCCTTCTATATACCGGGATCACTGCACAGCATTCCTCCTCCCCTCTATATACCGGGCTTAATACACTGACCACACAGTATATACTCCCCTCTATATACCGGGATCACTATGCTGACCACACAATATACCCCCTTCTATATATAGGGAAAACTATACTGAACACACAATATACCCCCTTCTATATACCGGGATCACTATACTGACCACACAATATACCCCCTTCTATATACCGGGATCACTATACTGACCACACAATATACCCCCTTCTATATACCGGGATCACTATACTGACCACACAATATACCCCCTTCTATATACCGGGATCACTATACTGAACACACAATATACCCCCTTCTATATACCGGGATCACTATACTGAACACACATTATACCCCCTTCTATATACCGGTATCACTATACTGAACACACAATATACCCCCTTCTATACACCGGGATCACTACACAGCATACCCCTCGCCTCTATATACCGGGATCAATACACTGACCACACAGTATGCATTACCCCCCTTCATATACCGGGATCAATACACTGACCACACAGTATATCCCCCCTCCATATACCGGGATCAATACACTGACCACACAGTATATCCCCCCTCCATATACCGGGATCAATACACTGACCACACAGTATATCCCCCCTCCATATACCGGGATCAATACATTGACCACACAGTATATCCCCCCTCCATTTACCGGGATCAATACACTGACCACACAGTATATCCCCCCTCCATATACCGGGATCAATACACTGACCACACAGTATACCGATGGTACCCTATAGCATTAGCTGCTTGTTAGCGCCATTACTTGCCGCTGGTAGCACGATGGCAGGTGAGGCCGGGTTCACACCTGGGTGATCCGTGACCGCGTGGCAATTGTGCACCATACAGCACAGATTGCCATGCGGTCACGGAGTCGCCCACCACCGCTGACTGGGCCATTATTTTCTAATAGCGCGCCGGGCGGATTGCGCAGTTTTCCACCACGATTCCGCCCGTGCAATCGAACACAATGGCGGCTAAAACAGCCGCACTTCGTGTGTTGCAAAACAAGGTACAGGTTCCTTCTTTTCTGCGATTGCTGAGCGGATGTAACCCCATTGAAATCAACGCGGCAATCGCTGTGTGCCATTGTGCACGGTCCCGGGAAACTTGTCCCGGATTGCCGAGGTCTGCACCGGCCCTCAGTGGTCAGCACTTCCGCCTTGCAGCTCGGGGAGTCCCCAGTTTGAATGCAAGTTCAGCCAGATCACTATCTGCATGGAGTTTGCATGATCTTGGGTGGGTTTCCTCCCAGGTTACAAAGACTTGCTGGAAGTCTAGCTCTACTATATCTGCATAGGAGATGGAGCCAGCAGGAATTTTTTGGAGCTCCATTGACAACAACTAGAGATAAACCTCAGAAGTTAGGCGCCAGCTGTCATTTTTAGGGAGCATTGGCGACCTGGCTCCTGAGATTTGCCCAGGAATTTACAACCTGCGCACTCCAGCTATTGATCTGTAGGTTACACAATGTATTTTCTAGCCGCTGGAGGTCTGACCATCCCTCTCACTCATGCAGTATCTCCTATTGCTATGTCTTTTCCTTCCTACAGCCTTTGTTCTTGGCCTCCTTCCCTGTATGTAATCTGGGGATGTCTGCAAGGAAAGGCCATACTTTGTGCTTTGACAAGGAGGAGGAGAGGTGACTTTTGCTGCTGATAAGCACTGCATTGTGGGTATCTGAAGGGCGTGCTCGCCATTTAAATAGGAATGCGGCCAGTGTTGTCGTAAAAAGGAGGAACACCTTTTTTGTGTGGAGATAAAGGAATGTGGAAGTGCCGTGGCCGCCCGTGTGACACTGTTTTCCTGGTTTCAGGTTCCATGTTCTGTCAAGTAAAGGCCTGTCACTGCATGCATGACTCGCTTCAGATCTTCCCACAACTCTTCTCCTGGTATGTGACTCGATAACCGTACAGCTTAGGTGAGAAGGAACTAAAGCAGGGGTAGGCAACATTGGCTCGAAATCCCACCATGTCTCTGCCTCTAGGAGTCGTGTCTGTAGCTTGCAGTGCCCCAGACTGAGAACCACAGACATGTCTCACAGGGAGATAGTGGGATCCGTAGTTTCACCGCAGCTGGAGTGCCGAGGTTGCCTACCCCTGTTAGAGCCATGTATTCAGAACTCAATGCAGCTGTTTAGACTATTTGACCATCAGCAGTGCAGTGTATGAAAACCACGGCTGCTCTGGAGTAGGGCTTGGGATCCAATGGAACACTAGAAATATACAGGTTATATTGAGACTGGACTAAAGCAGGGGTAGCCAAACTTTAACCATCCAACTGTTGAACTACAAGTCCCATAAGGCACTGCAAAACTGACAGCCACAGGCATAATGGTATATGTCTTTTCACCACAGCTGAGGTGCTGGACTTAGCTGCACCTGGACAAAAGGAATCAAAAAGCCGACAGCTGAATCTGGATAGCACAGTCAAGCCGCCCTGGAACAGAAGTTATTCACATGCATGGAAAGGGTTAAGCCCATAGAACATTATATGTCAAGTTAAGCCCATAGAACTTTGCATACAAACGGTTAAGCTTGTAAAAGTTTGCATACAAAGAGTTAAGCTCATAGAACTTTACATGTAAAGGATTATGCCCATGGAGCTTGACGTGTAGAGGGTTAAGCCCATGGAGCTTGACGTGTAGAGGGTTAAGCCCATGGAGCTTGACATGTAGAGGGTTAAGCCCCTGGAGCTTGGCATGTAGAGGGTTAAGCCCGTGGAGCTTGGCAAGGCGAGGGTTTAAGCCCGTGGAGCTTGGCAAGGCGAGGGTTTAAGCCCGTGGAGCTTGGCACGGCGAGGGTTTAAGCCCGTGGAGCTTGGCACGGCGAAGGTTTAAGCCCGTGGAGCTTGGGACGGCGAGGGTTTAAGCCCGTGGAGCTTGGCACGGCGAGGGTTTAAGCCCGTGGAGCTTGGCACGGCGA